CCTTATTTGCACCAGAGAATGGGTATTCTTGCGACAATCAAAAAACAGTGACTACAAATAAAATACCGTATCATAACAAACAATAACAATGTCAGTAATACTAACTGAACATTTTTTCGCATTTGACGCTGTTGGAGTGTGAAAATTCGCATTTCTTCATATTCAGTCAAAAGAAACCCTTTGGTAAACTATTTACGAAAATGACATTTAAAATTTTCAAAGGGTTTTTATTTTTGAGAAAATCGGCAAAACGTGAAATGCCGTTTACGCGTCCCCGCCGCCATAAAATTTTGTCCAAAATTCGTGCGTATTCAAAACACTCGCAAGGAAAGAAGGTTCAACGTATGAAATTTATCTTTGGCATGTAAGCGGGGAATCCAATATACAACACAGAAACCTAAAAATATTGCAAAAAGATGCACTTTAACAGATCATTTTGAAAGCCCGAAAATTGGTATTTTGAGCACTTTGGTAAACACTTGAAACAAGGCAACTTTGGTGGCAAAAATCGTGTCCTGGTACATCGAAATTTGGAATAACAAATAGATCGGTGTAACATATAAAAAATCCAGCTTAGGCAATTGAAAAACCACCCGTTGAGAAAAGTAAACGCATGGTGAATTTTCGATGTATTGACTAGAAAAAATTGTCACGGTCACGCAATCACTAGTAAACAGATTTCGATTGGATTTATTCATTGTGTTTTAGATTTGCTCACTTTGGCTACAGTTTATGCTCGAATAGAAAATCAATCTATCTTATGTATTATTTACTGTTTTGTATTCATATCAAAATGAATTTTAGAAGAGGTGAAAATTGATCTGACCGCAAAAATACAAAGATGAAGTTTTGTGTCATATTTACCGACTTAAAGTTTGTTTCCACTGAACCCAACTACTTAGCCCAGTAGGGAGTGGAAATTGTAATCTAAAAATAGACATCCGATAATTTGTAATCTATTAACCATTGTTTCTATCAACTCAAGCCAACTTGCTTTAACAGCCGAGGTTCCCTTTAACCATGCATGCTTAAACTTCTAGTAATTGTTACGAAATGTCAGGCATAGCTAAAATGCAAGTGGATCTTTTTTGCAACTTTTTACACAAGCCAAAAATAGGGATAGTTTTGCAGATTCTGCCACAATAATTCGAACCAGTGCAGATATAGCAGCACCGGTCATTCATATAAAAGGAGAGGCGCACCTGTTACAGTAAGCCACACTTTCCCATCCGGATCTAGGCTAAACATTGTTGTTGAATTTGTCTTCATATACCTGATTGAAGTAACGTTGACCCATGAAAAGCATAAACCATAAACGATGCGACCCAAATGTTTACTGGGAAATCAAAAAAGGAATTGTCTTTGGTGACAGAATGAACGTTATAATAAGACAGGTTGCGTGAATCATGCTCATAAAGCTCTAAAGGAAAGAAAAAAATTTTATTTCAAAAAATGGTATATTTCCAAGCTTGCGAATGGTGTCTACCCATAATCTCATTCGGTCTTATCGTTCATGGTTTATGCAATTCGTAGGGTAAACGTTTTTTCAATTTGGTATTTTCCCTCAATAATGTCATTGCAGTAAAAAAAATGCCTTTGTATTCTCTTCACTGGCATGTTTCAATCAACAAATATAGTTTGCGTAGTTTCTTTCTGTACTGGACAAAAAGATAATGGATCTTTCGGGTATTCGTTTTCGCTTTTGCTAAAGTCCGGGCAGTAGGAATTAGCAAGGAGTGACAGGCCTGCACAACTTCTAACAATGGAAACTTTTGTACCATGTAATA